AATGGTCAACCATGTCGAAAGCCTTACAGTAATCAATTAAAATCATGCCACTCACACGATCTTTATCAAGATTAAACAGCAACTCATCAGTACTTCCAATTAAAGCAGTTTCTGTGCTATGACGCTTCCAGAAACCGGACTGTTTAGGATAAATCAAGTTATTATCACACAGATAGCTGTAAAGCGTGTCGTGTACATGCTTTTCAATTACTTTAATTTGAAAGTACTGGCAACACAGATATCGGACGATAGTTGTTCATGTTTTCTAAATCTCCACCTTTAAATAATGGAAAGACTTTCGCAGTCTTACAGCGTTGAGGAAAAACCGATTCGCTGAGGGAATAGTTGATTAACTTTGCAATGGACAGGGCAATGGACGGGCAATACTCGTACTTTTACAGTGAAAAACAAAGAGATTGATCAAATATTCTCTATGCAGGTGTTATCAATGTACCAGATGTTACTCCAAGAGTTCCAGCGAGACAGTTGTTCATAGGTGAGAAAATATGACAATTACTAACTGTAGTTCTAAGTTCTGATTGTTAATTCTCCGTTCTCCCTTCCAAATATTTCCTTGTAAATGATTTATGAGAATTTGAAGTAAGATCAAGACTTCAACTTCTACCTGATAAGTTTGAGTATTCTCATTACCTGTTTACAGGATAATGCATGGTTGTTATTTGGAGAAGTTACATAATAATCAGTTGTGGAAGTTATAGTGAGTTAGTTTTTGGACTCTGTTTAGAAAAGTTGGTCAAATGCTCTTGGAGAAATCACAGTCTGACTTAAAAGCTTAAAAAAGCAAAGATTCAACCATAGGAAAAGTAACACGGTAGTTTCCATCTTGTTCTAGGGAGCCTTTGTTCCCTTTTTGTAGAGGAAGAGATGTTAGACTGCCTTTGGTTGAATCCAAGTTTTTTTTCTGACATCTGATTGGCTGGTAGCCTGTAAAGAGCCACCTTTCCCCTCGAAAGAGGATCACAAAGAACCACTGTGCACAGGCTAATTGGTTGGTAAAATAAACAATGAATAAAAAAAAAAAAGATTCAATGAGAAATTTGTCTCTGCAAACTCAAACTAAAAGTAGAAAGCATGAATTTTTCAGGAGGATGGGTCTACACTTAAGCTTTATAAATAGATAAATAATAATAAATAATTTAGTAGTGGACATTCCACTGGGTGGCTCTTGTTGTCCACTGTTTCCAGGTCGAATTGGAATTTGGAATGTTGGTTTTCGTGGGGGGAGGAAAACTGGTGGACCTGGAGAAAAACCCTCAGAGCATGAACAAGACCCAACAACAAACTCAACCCACATGTGACGCCAGGTCTGGAAATTGAACCTGGGCCACAGCCACGGGAGGCGAGTGCTCTCACCACTGTGCCATCTGTGCTCCCCATTATTATCACTTTTTGTAAACAAAGAGGGCTCCATGGGGATCTTAGGACCCCCTTCCCACATGAGTAACCAAGATAAAATTTCTCCTTACAATATCAATTAGAGGATCACTAGTTTATCCCTTAGCTCACTTCAAACTAACACAGTGACTATAAGAATTGTGTGGTAGATAGTTAGGAGAATTACCAAAGAGATCTTGGAAATGAAAGGGTCAACAGTCTTTATGATTCTGTTAATCTTAAATAAATACCATGATCATGTAAGAGTTAAAAGAACCTGTTAAAAGCACAGTTACAGCCACTGAACAGTGGAGGTCTTCTTGTTTAAGGCTGTTACAGTAATGTTTTCTTATTTTTTCCCATAGAGATGCAATTCCAAGGAATGGAAATTTTCCACACATCAGATCAAGAATTGGGTTTAATTCAAGAAAGAGCATCCACTGTATTTCCTGTCTCTCCAGCCCCTTCTAAACTGACTATACCAGCTTCTAGATATGTACCACTACCACCAATAGAAACAGAACATGTTACTGATAGTAACAGGGATGCTGTGGTGTCTTCTAGAAAAGATGATCATCAGAAGAACTTACAGGGCATTCCAGTTCAAACTATTGGTGAGGTGACAATGGCAGAATTGGTGTCATCTCCTCAAGAAAAAGATGAAAAGAAAGTGGCGATACAAACTGAAGAGGGATATGGAACCAAAGAACTCAAAACTCGATTTGCTTTGAGTCAAGATTCTAATTTAAGACATGATGAAGGTTGCGATGGAATTGGAGGAGATGAAAAAGTTGATCATGAGTCAGACAAACAGAAAAGAGCTGTAAAAGAAAGAACATTAATGCTAGAAATGTAAGTGACTTGATCATGTTGTGTGTTTGAGCTACAATCAAATTCAAAGATTGATTCCTTTTCTATAACGATTGCTTTTACAACCTCCCGCTCTTAATGTAAAGCCTCTGCTTGGAACCTTAAGTTTCTAATTAACCCCACCTTTGCACCTTTGATCCATAGCTCCAAGACAGACCAAAGTTTTACCATTATTTGTTTGGCCAAGATCATGTAGTGCAGCAAAAACTATGCATGCCACTGAAAGCTTACCTCAGTTTCTATAATTTCAATTATTGGTTTTCAATCCAAGAAATGTATATTAATGTTCACAGGATTCTTTTAAGCTGTTCCCCTGTTGGGTTTGTGATTATTTTTCAAGTGGATTAAATGGTGAAAGCAAGTGGTAATAGGCCATTTTACAGTTGTGTACTTAGTTGCCAAGCCTTTGATTCAGGGTGAGGCTAAAGATGACCTTGTTGTGATAGAGACCTCTATCTAGTTAGCATGATAACAAAGTGATTTACATTTGAAAGGCAGCAAGGTTTGTATCATAACAAGGTCATCTCAAGCCTCACTCTCGTTCAAAGGCTTGGCAACCAAGCACACAACTGTAAAATGGACTATTNCAGGATTTTCTACAAAAGGGATTCTACATCAGCCATGGTATCAGCCATGTTAATTGAACTAACCAACCTTAGATGATTAGACTGCCACAAAGGAGGTGTACACTTCAAGCCCTAGAGGGTACTCAAAGTTTTAATCTGCAAATGGACTTATTACTGGTAACTGTAGCGTTAGGGTACGTCCTCTCTCCAACATCTTCATCACTATCAGGGGACATAGAAAAAACCTGTCACACACTTAAGCTGATTTTAGTGTACACAGCTCCCAGTACTAGGGGCATGTTGCATTGGTTGGTGTTGTGCACAGGGCATTTACCACCATAGTTACGAAAAGAAGGAATGATCTACAATGAGCTACAATGAGTTACCGTGGGAACAAGGAATGACCTAAAATGATCCACAATGACCTACAATGATTTACAATGATTGACCTACAATGAACTACAATGAGCTACAATGAGCTACAATGAGCTAGTTATGAGTGTTACAAAAAATTGTGGCCTGACCTGCGTGACTTTGCGCATGGGTTCGTCATTAGGCGAAAAAGTTTAAATAAAGATACCTAATGAATAAACTTACCACGATTATTCCATGAATCAAACTTATGATCTGTTCCACACAAGATATTTACGCAAGATGACAGCAACTTCGGATGACACAGAATAAGTAAAAAGAGTGAATGGTGCCAAAGAAGACTGACATAGCTTCATGATGGTGTCATGACCTTTTTGCCTCACTGTCTAAAAATGTCAATGAGTTAAAGGTGTTGATAGGCCAAATACATCTCATAGTCTCGCGGCGCTGTGGTAGTGACCTTATTAATGGTTTTGATCTAAAAATATCAATGAGTAAAAGGTGTTGACAGGCCAAATATGACTCACAGCCTCATGATAGTGTGAAATTATGAGATGCTTGTTATATAAGACCCTCAAAGACATCTTAAGCCAATTAGGTTTTTTTGCATTTTTTTTTTTAACCTTATCGTCATTAGACATGTCTCATTATAATACACCGTAAATTTATCTCCAAGCTAGCAATTCTTTTATCATTTGGCCTGTTATTCAGTAGACAAAAAGCAAACACGTTACGTTAATCAATTAATCAATCAATCAACTTTATTTAACAAGGGTAACACGGGACAGTGCTTCAACTGAGTAACTAGTGGCCTTCAAAAGACATGCACACATGTCTCCTGGTTTTTTTTTCTTTGCCTTTTTTCTAAAATCTCCATTTCCTTCATTACAGTGATCTTACAGTAGCTCATTGTAGGTCATTGTAGATCACTGTAGGTCATTCCTTGCTTTAGTAACATACTATATACGTATTTACCACAACATGCGTCTCCTTCTGAGACAGGATTCCTTCATCTTCCCTTCACTCACCACTTAGCTGCTAATAGGATCCTTTTAGGTGGTTTTCAGCTCTTTTCCACAGGCAGTATTTTCTTCAATAAAGGCCCCTCACATGAAACATTATAGTGTTTTACAAAACATTGTCACACCGGAATTTAGGTGCATGCATCCAGTCAGGGTGAAAGCTACCACTTGTGACATATAGTTTTTGAATATACACTACAAATCCTAAATTTGTTCCTATTCTTTTTTCTACTTAGTGAGTGGTGATGTTTATGATGCACAAATGTCCCCAATGGAAGCTGTGGTGTTAAATGCAATGATGACTGGTTCATCGATTCTTAATCTCAGGGCTCATTTCTTGAATCAACTTCCTGATATGAGCCCACTTGCAGGGATGCTGACACATTTGAATCTGTCTTTTAATGATCTTTGGGTGAGCATTGATCCTAATAAGCTGTCTATTGTTTTTTTTTTGGTTTTGTTTTGTTTTGTTTTTTTTTGCATTAGAAGAACTGTACAGGGGCCTTCAAACACAAATCAATAACCCCATCAGAAGCATATCTTCTAGTAACCCAATAGATCAGAAAGATTGATCCCATACCGGTTTATGCCTTCTACCGAAAAAATAGGTTCTCTTGCCCAACAAAAAGTCTTGTGTTGTGACAGCCTTGAATGCCAAGTTTACATAAACTACAGGGTTTTTCAAACACAGCATTGGTGTGAAATCTGTTTTTAGATCTGAAAGCTTTAAAATAAAATTCAGTTTAATTATGTTTGTCCACAATTTGAATGATTGGATTCTCTAAAATGGATAGGAAAAATTATCCCAAAAAAGGCTCCCGAATCGCAAAATAAATAAGCCTGGATTAAAATCATTAACCCTAGGTTAGTGCTAATGGGGCTTTGAACAACCGGGCCCGGTAGGATGAACTTGAACCTATTCAAGATAAGGGAAGTTTTTTTAAAATGATCTTACATCTGCATCTCTTAATCTTTTAATGGAATAAACGTTGGCAGGTGAACCAGACTTGCACACAGACCTAATGCTATTAGTCATAATTTTTATCCTGAAAATTCTTTTAAGGTTTTCCCTCCAGAGATTCTGCAGCTGGTGAACTTGGTTTCACTAAAACTCAGGAACAATCCTATCAAAGAAATTCCCCATGGTATGTTGGAAAATGGCAATCTCTCTACATTACGTTTCTGCCTTTGGGAGTATGTAGTATGTTGAATTCTTTGTCATCAAAAATCTCCTGTGTAATTTGTTTACTGATATCAAACCTCTTTGGAATTATCAAAAGTTATTTTCATTGGATACTATATATAGATGCATGAAGTATTTAAGATAAGTAAAGATACAGTTAAAGAAGGGGGTGAAAGCTCTAGATTGTGTGCTATTGTGTAATTTGTTGAATACAGTAGAACCGGTGTATTTAAGCAGCACTGTAATAAGCGGTCGCCCTATATTGAAAGATCAGTTGTCAAAGTTCGGAATTTGTTTCCCTTAGTCACTGTAATTTTCTCGTCTATTAAGTGGTCACCTATTTTAAGCAGTCAAGGTAACCTTTGAGTGAGTTCCAATGGCCAGTTTCTATTGTCTTCCACCAGTATTAAATGATCACTTAAAGTAGAACTACTCAAATAAAGCTAAGAATTAAGTTACTGTATCTCAAGTAAAATTTAATCCAATGGCATGTTTCTCTCCCAAAGTAAATGTTAGACAAGTAGTAATTTTTAGCAAGTTTTTGTATTTTAAGTGACCATATTTGGGATGAAATGGGGTTTTTCATCATTGTTTTTAGTTTTACCCCTTTTCTGTGGAACCTGTATTAATCAAGTGGTCAAGCTGTATAAAGCAGTCACCCCGCAATTCCTATAGAGTGACCACTTGGTCCTTATGATAGTCTTTAATTAGTTCTTATTAACAGAGCAGGAGGTCTGTATGGGAGAATCTTGACCAAGGTCACCAATACAGACCGAACGCAGTGAGGTCTGTACCAGCGACTGAGGTCAAGATTCTCCCATACAGACTGACCTAGCTTGGTTAATAAGATGTTTATTACAAGTATGGCTGTCTTATATGCCAATTTTTATATTCCTTGTACCTACTTTTTTCTAGACCAGTCTAGATGCCAGTCTAGATGGGAAAATCTAGACCGCTTTCAATATTGATTTCAGCCAATCAAATTCATGAATTTGGTAGTTCCCAGTCCTTGTGAGACACAGCCATATAATAATGAGTGATAACTCTTCCCACACTATTGATGTGTATCCAATTGCTATTTTAATTTGTAACTTTCTGTCAATCCTTATCCTATGAATAGCAATATATTTGATACTTTCCTGCCTTTAAACTGTGGGTTTAAGGTTTTGTGAAACTGTTCCAAATAAAGAAGATACCTACAGCTCACACAAAGATGAAACTAAAACATTTAACTCTTCATTTCAAAATTTAAAAATGAATTTGTCCCGCACATTGCAATTAGTCAGTGGATATGTTCTTATTATGAAACTGTGTGCTAGCTACTTTGATTATCTGAGACTGTGATGTAATTATCATTTCCAGGTATAAAGCAGCTGAAGAGGCTCACTGTGTTTGAAATGTCCTTTAACCTCCTCACATCTTTACCATCTAGGTATGCTATAGTGTTGCAAAGTGTTGATTCTCTCTCTCTCTCTGTCTCTGAAACTCATGGAAACCAATGTTTGACTTCTTCCACTTCTGTTGTACAAAAAATATCTGTCAATACTATTTTTTTTCAAGCAATCTTTAATTGAATCATCGATCAACAAATGTCTTGTCTCTGTCATGACTTGTTCTTGTCATCAAATGTATAGAATTCGTTTGAAAACTTGAATTTTAGGTTCAGTTGAAATTCTCTTGGAAAGTCATTTCTGCAGATGCATGGTGTAGAAAAAAAACAATTCAATTACAAAAAAAAAATTATGTTGGTTTTCTACTCTTTCTAGACGTATTTTTCACTATAGCATGCTCCTGATATCTTGTTTTTCCTTGTGTTCTATCTACTTGGAAAAGTCATACCTGATTGAGTTGAGATAGGTGAAAAAAGGAAAGTTGCTATTTAGTTAAGAAGCATGTACAGTTGGAGCTCATTCCGGTTTCTATAGCTTGAAGCGATGGGGAGTATTACTTCTTCCCCTTGGACAAAATATTAGTGCATAGCAGGTGACCACCTCCTCCTCTCCCCCTCCCCCAGGATTTTGAAAAGCTTCTATTTATTCTCCAGGGTGGAGAGAGGCAGTGTAAGAGTAAATTGTCTTGCTTAAGAACACAACAATGGCCTGGTCAGGTCTTAAACTGTCCTCAGATAAGCATTTAGTTATTAATGGCTGTGTTATTTCTTAAGTCTCTTCCAGTTAAAACACCTTGAGCTTCTGGACCTGGCTTACAATTGGCTCTCATTTATTCCTTCAGACATTGAAAACCTAAGGTATGTGTTCCACCTTTTAGTCCTCCAACTAAAACTCTATGCATGCCGATGTTAGGGGGTTCAGGGTCAAAATATTCATAATGTATACCCTTTCCTTGTCTATATAGTTCTCTGCGAGAATTGAATCTGGAAGGAAATCGGCTTGGAGCCCTGCCAGTTGGAGCGCTGCATCTGAGGTTGAAGTATGTCAGAATACAAAATAACTTCACACATCCACTAATGTGGCGAGAGACGGCGACCAACCAGCCACAGGTGAGACAAAAAGTACATCGGGAACAGACCTGTGGAAGTTTTTCGATAAAGGCGAAAGTTAAACTAATAAGTTTGAAAGAAGATTGAAGAAGAACGAGGTGAAAAAGTTGCTTAGCCTGCAACAAAGGCGGAATTATTTTTTTCTTTCTCCCAGGTCTGTTTTCTTTCATCACCTCACTTTGTTCAAAGGCACCATGAGGTTTAGCCCGTTGAACAGGCGTAATTCTTTGTGTTTTTGCGCAAAAAATTTCGCCTCTTTTGCAGGCTTTTTGAAATCTAAAGAAGCTGAATTACATACATACATACATACATACATACATACATACATACATACATACATACATACATACATACACACATACATACACACATACATAACATAGATAATCTTTATTTAACGTAGGTA